AGTAGCGCTTGTTGTTTGTCATTTCTCCGATCACAAATGCAGACATGGTTTTATGTTTACTCTGCACAATGCAACGCAACGCGTAAAAAGACAATATAAGTCATTGTAATCCGTAATTATGTCTCCACTTGATGCAACAAATGCCTAGTTTATAATGGGTTTTATTGGTTTTGTCTCGTCGCTCCGGCCTGACAGGGCATCACAGTATGGTAAGGGGTGTAACATTTCCGTCACACGCTTGAGGTATTCGGCCAATCACAACACACTGGATAGCTGGCCAATCAGAGCACACCTCGCTTTTCAGACCGATGAGCTTTGTAAAAATCGACGCGTTTCAGAAAGGCGGGGCATAGAGGAGAAACAATAATGTACAGTATGTGGAAAATAATGTGTTTTTTTTAACCTTAAACCGCATAAACACATTTCATTATACCAAATACACAAAATAATGTTATTTTTAGCAACATCATATGACCCCTTTAAACAGAATCCTGATCCATGCTAAAGTTTGCCACATCTGACATTATTCCTCTTCCCCCATCTATTACGATCTTTCTTTCATCCCCTAAACCCCACCAGCAGCCATCTGTCCCCCACAATCCCCTTCTGATCTGTCCTGTGTCCCGCTCTCAGCCCCTTCAGGAGCCATGTGAGTGAGCTCAGAGTCAGAGGACTGATACTTGTTGTTTGTATTAATCTGATTGAATTAACCGTTTGTTAATGCATATATAAAATGGAATCTAAAAGTCTTGTTATGCTTGTATTTTGCATAATGTATTGAGTGAAAATTAACATGAATTTAAGAAATTCATTTGGTTTTTCCTCCTTTTGCTTAATGTCGGTATCACTCGAGCTGCATGAACTCTTTATGAGTACCTTTGTCTAATCTTCCAGGTAAAATATCTAAACATGATCCAAAATGTATGGCTAATTACTTGATTTAATAAATGTTTTAAAGCCTTATTTTGTTTGTAATTAATCGCATAGAATTCTTGCACTAAATAAAATTTCAATTTTGAATCACAAAAATTCAGTGGATATTTGAGTCCGACTGTACTTATTTGGGACAAAGACTATCCGTGTTGAAATGATTCCATGATTAAATCCAATGATTTGATAGTAAATAGGCTGTTACTTGTGTTTTGATGAGTATGTTTGATGGTATCTTGAACAAAGTAGCGTATTGTTGCATAACAGAAAGTCTCACTGCGTGGCCTGCTCTGCTGTGTCTGTGTATGCTTTGTCTGATCTCTCGAATGTGACATTGCCTCATGATCATATGACCATCACTGCTGTATGGTACATCTTGATTTCTTGCTCATCTCCCACATTTTCTTTTCTTTTCATCTCTCTGTATATACATTTTTTTTACTTGTGTGGTCCACACAGTAGTTGGTACCCTTTCTCTGTCCATCTGCAAATTATCCATGTGTGTTTTTCCTGGTGTTGCAAATGCAAACAAGCCCTCAGCTCTAATTTGGTTACAACAGCAAAGTGACTTTTAATTTCAAATTTCTTAAAAAATATCTTTATGCAATTTGTACACTTGATATGTTTGATGGAAGGACTTAAAGATGGGAGTTTATTCTCCAGACGTGAAATGTCATAAACAGCGATGGTATTGGATATCCCAGAACTTCTGCATCTGTGTGTCTGTCTCTTGGCTGCTCAAAGTAGACGACGCTGTGCAAATTCTGTGTGGAATGTGCATGCATACTGATGTTGATATGTATGTGTGCGGTGAATTCAGGTCATTTAGGCCATTTTTTGACATTGAGATGACCAATTTGACCTGAATTCACCCTACAAGATGGGTATTACCTACTGATCTCATTTCATCAGTTCCAGATCAGCATAAGTTCTGTACTTATAATCCTCCAAAACGTCAACGTAACTCTCAATCTCTCTCTTTTTCCTGTTTATATCCACACAGCATGTCAAAGACATCATTCTACAGTCCAACCCTCTTTTGGAGGCCTTCGGGAATGCTAAGACAGTGAGGAACAACAACTCCAGTCGATTTGTAAGCTCCGATCATCCTCCCATGGATTTATTTTATTGAAGAAAAGAGACAGCAGATGTCTTGAGCTGGGCTGCATCTTGTCCTCATGATAAATTTAAGAGGAAAACAGTTGCACTAGAACCAAAAAAAAAGGGTAATCATCCAGTTTAAATACAAAAAGAAAGAAAGAACAATGTTTTGCCACTGCAATAAGAACATTTGATAAAAATTATGTTATCGTAAGGCAAGTACTGTGCTTAAAAATACTCACAGGCCAAAGCGGCCATTACAAAATATGTTGAACGCCACATTTACTTGCAGTTCTGCTTCATTATGCCCATACATGTCAGTCTTGTTTTTGTTCTCGGGACTGGTGTAGTTTTGTTGTAAAAAGAATGGATTAGCAGTGGTACAAATGGCTTGTGTAGTGGATAGGAGAATTTTGTGAATGAAAAAGCATCTAGATGAATTCAGGGGTCCTACAGGGGCTGGTAGTGTTGTTACAGATTTAATTCTGGACATGTCTGGTAAGTGCGGACAGCTGCAGCACACATAAACGAACAGAGAGAGACATTTAAATGATAGTGAAGGGTGTTTGTGTGTGTCAAAGCACCTATTTCCTCTTATTTTCAGTTCTGGGCATAGACATCCACCTGCAGTACATCACATCTGTGCCTTTTTAACATTCATCTTCCCTGACAGGGGAAATACGTTGAGATTCAGTTCAGTTCCGGCGGTGAGCCAGATGGTGGGAAAATCTCCAACTTCCTTTTGGAAAAATCACGTGTGGTGATGCGGAATCCTGGAGAGAGGAGCTTCCACATCTTCTACCAGGTGCGAATGAGGACACGTGGTGGGCTTCTTCTCTCAGAAGATGTCACTGTGATCATCAGTAGCATAAATACACCACGTTATGAGGAAAAATTGAATGAATAACCGCAGTAAAATTCAGGAAAGGGAAGATGGAGCCATTTGGCTCTGAAAAGCAGGTCACGTTGTTCTGAGTTTACCACTTGGGATTTTTGCAAGAGGGAGAGTTTGAGAGTTTTCCTATGGTTACGTTTATTTAGGACTTTTTCTTCAACTGTGGACACTTTTGGCCTTGCGGACTTTTAGAAAATAAACCCTCCTAAAACACTTTTCACACTCTCACTAGTTTGTTTCATTTGTCTGCTAGCATTGTCCAGGAGATTTTTTTTTTTTTTCCCCAAGAAAGTCATAAATCCCACCACAGTGTAATTTCCTCCACATCTTAAATTTTGTATTGTTTAATGGTGTTTGTAGTGAAAATGACGGTGGTGGAAATGACATTTGAAAACTTTTGTAACGTTTTTGTATTGTTTTGACTGGCCAGGGTTAATTTTAGAGCTAGCATTTCATGTATCCTATATAGAAATACACACCATTAAATAATATTCTCAGACTTTTTACACTAAGGTTCAGACATTAAGGGGTGGTAAGATTTCTTTTAATGTTTTTGCAAGGTCTCTTGCTCAACAAGGCTGCATTTTTTTGAGAAAAAAATATATGCTGATTTGGTGCTCAAGTAGCATTTCTTACTTTTGATCAATGTTGAAAATGATTGTGCTGCTTAATATCTTTGTGGAAACCATAATAAATATTTTCAGGATTCTTTGATAAATAGAAAGTTGAAAAGAAACGCATTTATTTGAGATAAAAAACTTTAGATTTTTTTATGCATTCTTGCTGAATAATGCATCCTTTCTTTAAAAAAATAAAATATATAAAAAATTTCTGACACCAAACTTTTGAATGGTAGTGTATATGAATTGACAAACTTGATTAAACTTGATTGGAAATGATGCATAATAACTATAATAATCTCACAACTGATGCTTACATTGATTTATAATTATTTTCTTAATATTTCATCTCATATTTAATCTCAAGCATGCTTTTCACTGACACTGTTATTTGCCTGGTGAAGAAATATCTAATATAATATAAAACCTTTACAAAAAACTTTATTAGGAGCTAAATTTACTGTAACAAGTTTATGAGACCTTTTTAATGTGACCTTAATATAACACTAAAAATTTGGGTAACACTTTAGTTTTGGACCAATTCTCACTATTAACTAGTTGCTTATTAGCATGCATATTACTAGAATATAGGCTGTTTATTAGTATTTATAAAGTACATATTGCCTTATTCTGCATGCATTACCATATTTTACATCACTTAATCCTACCCCATACATAAATTTAACGACTACCTCACTAACTATTAATAAGCAGCAAATTAGGACATTATTGAGTTGTAGTTAATAGTTAGTTGATTGTGAGAATTGGTCCCCAAACTAAAGTGTGACCAAAATTTGAAAAATGTTTATTGGTTTTAGTACAAATCAACCCTTGGGACATAAAAGTGCTGAACTTGAAGAAAATATTACATCTTTTCACAGCTAATAGAGGGAGCCAATGGAGACCAGAAAAGTAGTCTGGGTATCACCAAACTGGATTACTACTCTTACCTCAACCAGTCAGGTTCCTACAAGGTTGACGATATTAATGACAAGCACGACTTCCAGGAAACCTTAGAAAGTCATAAATCCCACCACAGTGTAATTTCCTCCACATCTTAAATTTTGTATTGTTTAATGGTGTTTGTAGTGAAAATGACGTGGTGGAAATGACATTTGAAAACTTTTGTAACGTTTTTGTATTGTTTTGACTGGCCAGGGCTAATTTTAGAGCTAGCATTTCATGTATCCTATATAGAAATACACACCATTAAATAATATTCTCAGACTTTTTACACTAAGGTTCAGACATTAAGGGGTGGTAAGATTTCTTTTAATGTTTTTGCAAGGTCTCTTGCTCAACAAGGCTGCATTTTTTTGAGAAAAAAATATATGCTGATTTGGTGCTCAAGTAGCATTTCTTACTTTTGATCAATGTTGAAAATGATTGTGCTGCTTAATATCTTTGTGGAAACCATAATAAATATTTTCAGGATTCTTTGATAAATAGAAAGTTGAAAAGAAACGCATTTATTTGAGATAAAAAACTTTAGATTTTTTTATGCATTCTTGCTGAATAATGCATCCTTTCTTTAAAAAAATAAAATATATAAAAAATTTCTGACACCAAACTTTTGAATGGTAGTGTATATGAATTGACAAACTTGATTAAACTTGATTGGAAATGATGCATAATAACTATAATAATCTCACAACTGATGCTTACATTGATTTATAATTATTTTCTTAATATTTCATCTCATATTTAATCTCAAGCATGCTTTTCACTGACACTGTTATTTGCCTGGTGAAGAAATATCTAATATAATATAAAACCTTTACAAAAAACTTTATTAGGAGCTAAATTTACTGTAACAAGTTTATGAGACCTTTTTAATGTGACCTTAATATAACACAAAAAATTTGGGTAACACTTTAGTTTTGGACCAATTCTCACTATTAACTAGTTGCTTATTAGCATGCATATTACTAGAATATTGGCTGTTTATTAGTATTTATAAAGTACATATTGCCTTATTCTGCATGCATTACCATATTTTACATCACTTAATCCTACCCCATACATAAATTTAACGACTACCTCACTAACTATTAATAAGCAGCAAATTAGGACATTATTGAGTTGTAGTTAATAGTTAGTTGATTGTGAGAATTGGTCCCCAAACTAAAGTGTGACCAAAATTTGAAAAATGTTTATTGGTTTTAGTACAAATCAACCCTTGGGACATAAAAGTGCTGAACTTGAAGAAAATATTACATCTTTTCACAGCTAATAGAGGGAGCCAATGGAGACCAGAAAAGTAGTCTGGGTATCACCAAACTGGATTACTACTCTTACCTCAACCAGTCAGGTTCCTACAAGGTTGACGATATTAATGACAAGCACGACTTCCAGGAAACCTTGGTAAGTATGATTTAGGCAGCTTGGTATTTCAGTCACACTCTGCTGTCCTGGGAGTCTTATGTAGCTGTGAAAAATTTACTTGTTCAAATATGACAAGTATTTCCATATTTGCAGACACTGTTGTTGTAACCTCCCTCTCCTCCCTCTGTCTGACCCCAGCATGCCATGGACGTGATTGGTATCTCAGGGATGGACCGCACCCTGGTACTGCAGATTGTGGCAGGAATTCTTCACCTTGGGAACATCGGCTTCAAGGAAGCAGGGAATTATGCTGCTGTAGAAAATGACGAGTGTATGTACATAGACTGAGTTTTGCATAGTTCCTCGTTTCGGTGTCCTCGTTTGAACTATGTGCTGTAGATTATTTAATGGCATTAACTCAAACTGTCTTGCCACACCATATTACCCCAGAAAACAGAGCTCTGTTTATGCGCCTGGTATCTGCATATTACATCACAGCCTAAAATTACACAGTGAAATTCTGAACTTCCAGCCCATTTCCTCTTTCTCTCCTTCCCTTCAAGTGTTTTAAAGCTCTCAGGTGGAGCAATGCACTTGAATGACAGAGGCTGTTTGCTGTGCTGGGAGCAGACAAAGCTAATCAGTGCTTTTCCTGTTCTGGCCCTTCCCAGCCCCCTAACCCCTCTTCCTGTCTGCCGCCAGCGGCTTTCACACATTTAGTGTTGGCTTGCCGATGTAAAAACCACACGCGGCACAAATACTCGGCTGCCTGCTTATGACAAAACCGTATGCAAAGAGCTCATGCATCCTGGGAAATAAATTCTATGGATAACATCTTCCACTGCAAATACATAACATTTTAATAGAGGTCTTTAATTGACACCGTGTAAGGGTAGTTTTGAGAGCCATGGACAATCCCGGATCTTTTTATAGTTGCATTGTTTTGGGAGACCAGTTAGTGCGCTCTGTTCTACCACACCCGAACAACTGAATAATGAGCCATACTTAAGCAGTATGACAGAGTGCATCACTATCAGGACTGAATGAGGGCAGTGAGTCAGTGACGAGGCGGGGTTCATCAGAAATGGAGCGAGGCGCAGGGCTGTTAGTGACTCGTGTCTCACCCGTGCCTCTCCTCAGAGGAGTGTTGTGACTACACCGAAAAGCATGAGTCACATGAGTCAGATGTATTGAAAAAGAAAAGTTTTATAATTGTATTATAATCTAACATATTATATTATATTATATTGTTATATAATATTATATTGTTTTTAGATTTTACATTTCAAATAAATGCTTCTTTTAAACTTTTCCATCATAAAATCCTGAAAAAAAATGTATCACAGTTTCAACTAAAATATTAAGTAGCACAACAGTTTTCAACATTGATAATAATAAGAAATGTTTCTCGAGCATCAAATCAGCATATTAGAATGATTTCTGAAGGATCATGTGACACTGAAGACTGGAGTAATGACTGCTGACAATTCAGTTTTTATAAATTGTAATAATATTTCATAAGAACATTCGAAAACATTCCAAAAATCTTACTGACCCCAAACATTTGAACAGCTACTGTATATTACATATTTAGAAACACTTGTATATACCACTGTGTGCAATTATCATTCTGACTCTACCAAACTGTTCTCTCTCCTGCTCATAGTTCTGGCATTTCCTGCCTTCCTGTTGGGCATCGATCAGCATCGCCTTAAAGAAAAACTCACCAGCCGTAAGATAGATGGCAAGTGGGGGGGCAAGTCCGAGTCTATAGACGTAACTCTGAATGTGGAACAGGCGTGTTTCACACGTGACGCTCTCTCCAAAGCCCTGCACGCTCGTGTTTTTGACTACCTGGTGGAGGTACAAGCCATATACACCTACATCCCTCGTAAAAACAGATGTTAGAGAAGAAGTAAGGACTGAATGGTTTCCTATTTTTCTTTAGTCGATCAATAAAGCCATGGTTAAGGACCATCAGGAGCTGAACATTGGAGTATTGGATATTTATGGCTTTGAGATATTTCAGGTGAGTATTTTATTTACTCGTCACTAATGGAGTGATTCTTTTCACAGCAGTTAACTGGATGTGTAGCTATCCAGTCTAACTAATGAGAGAAGATTACTGATTTTTAATTGCCTGGATTGGTTCCCCTCTGCTTTTGTAAACAGATAACATATTAATGAGCTTGACTAAACTGATCATCTCAAAGAGTTTTCAACCCTTTTAATTTGATGAATTCTTGAGCAGCAACTGTGCATTTTAAATGCTATTGATAATAATAACAGTTGAAACATTGTTTGTGATGGTTACATTATCACTGAAGCTTAGTTGCAACTTATTTGTTTCCTTTGTCACCACTACTGTGTTATTTTTGGTTCATAATGACTATCTCTTTTCTGTTTTCATTTGCTTTTTAGAAAAATGGATTTGAACAGTTCTGTATCAACTTTGTGAATGAAAAACTGCAGCAGATTTTCATTGAGCTGACTCTGAAAGCTGAGCAGGTAACATTTCATTTCTCCCCCTGTGCTTTTGTTTTTGCTGTGACGTAGAATTTGTGTCTTAAATCTACTGCACCCCTAGTAAAGGATCAATTTCATGATCTGCTCTTTTCCTCTTTTCAGGAAGAGTATGTGCAGGAAGGAATCCGATGGACTCCCATAGAGTACTTCAACAATAAGATTGTCTGTGACCTCATTGAGAGTAAAGTAGTAAGTTTCACTAACTGTGCAAAACAAACATCCAGCTATTGCAAAAGCTGGATATGATCTTTCATTGTCTAGTGTGGTAAATCAATAAAACTAACATTAGCTCAGATCAATATCCACACAAGCCTCCTTTCTCTTCCCGTGACTGTTTGTCTAATGGCCTCAAAATGCTTGATATGCATCCAAATTCAATTGGCTTTACTCACAGAGAAACTAGACACACACAGCCATGAAATTCACAAGGGAAAACCTTAACCATCCATGTCAGTGTGACAGCATGTGAGAAAGTGCTTCTCTGTGTCACTGCTAAAAGCTAATGCTTGTCTGTGAGAAATTTACAAGCTGTTTTCCTTTCGTTGGACTCTGTGGATTGAGAGAGACATCTGAATTTTCTGACAGCTGTGTGTTCAGACGCGGTGTGTGTCAGATTGTTTTCATCCAGGTTAATGTATGATGGTTCATTTCCTGAGTTTTGATTAAGCTTGAAAGGCTGTGAATGTGGTCTAAAATGGTTTCAGACACTTTAGAACAATATATTTGTAGATGTTTTATATAGTATAATATACTAAAAGTAAAATACGTAAAAGTTAATGTCCTTGCAATGCAACATGCTATACCTTACCTAAAACCATACTACTACACAAGTGTATACTTCTACTACTACTACTATTACTACTAATTAAAGTTTTTATTTGTATGCCACCTTTCATACTTAAAATCAAGATCAAGATGCTTCACAGGTCAGAATATTTTTAAAAAGAATGAAAGAATAATTAAATAAACGAGTGAATAAATAAATTAATAAGATGGGTGAAAACAGTAAAAATCAAAAAGAGCCTAAATAAAACCCTGACAAAAAAGAAGAGGAATGAAATAATAATAATAATTCAATAAAATTATTAAGCAGCCTAATAGGATGTCTCAAAATGAATTTTAATTATATGAATGCATTTTACAATATCTCACTATCATTTTGTGTGCTTTCCCAGAATCCTCCAGGCATGATGAGTATACTGGACGATGTGTGTGCTACTATGCACGCGAAGGGTGAAGGTGCAGATCAGACGATGCTGCAGAAGCTCCGCATGCAGATCAACAATCACGAGCACTTTAACAGCTGGAACCAGGGCTTCATCATCCACCATTACGCTGGCAAGGTATTTATACCTCTCTCTGTACCAAGCATCTCTTTATCCACCTCCCCGCACTCTTCTGCAGTGTTATTAAATCATTTTCTTTACCTTTTTTTTTCCTACTATTTTTTGCCTGTTGTTTGCCATTGTCTCTCACTGTTTCTTTCCTTCCGACTCTCTCTCTCAGTCTCTCGTTTACTCTTTGTTGCCTTGAGGTAGTTCAGTATGTGTGGTACCATCCACATACCCCATGTTCAATGAGGCGTGCTCTGAGGGGAGGCAGGAGGAGCCCATCCACATCCTGCACCGTTAGATTTATAATAAGTATGTTCTACAGACAAAGGAAAACCGACATTAATTTAAAAAAACGACATCTGTGTCTTCTAGCATTGACTACATATAAATAAATAATAAATAAATAAACAAAATGGGTAAAAACAGTAACAAGCAACAAGAGCCAAAATAAAACCTTAACCAAAAAATGAAACAAAATGGAAGAGAAAATAAAAAGGAAAAAATAATAATAATAATAATTATTATTATTATTATTATTCAAGAAAATTACAATGGAGAATATACAGATGTCTCCAAATGATTTATTATATAATATTCATGCATTTGTGAGATACATATTTTGAAATGATACAAGTGTACAGTATAAATAATGATAATAAATATAAAAGCAAGGTCCAGAACCAAATGAAATATTTATTTATTTATTTATGAATTTAGTCATTTTTGCGAGGTTTAAATACTTTCCCAGATGTATATACAAAGATTGTAAGTTTACTTCTACTTTTACTTTTAGTCATTTAGCAGACGCTTTTATCCAAAGCGACTTACAAATAAGAAAAAGTAATTAAAACTAAAAGCTAAAACTCTATAAATACTATATATATACACATTTAAGAAAATAAAAGAAATTAAATAAAAATGACAAATGCATACAACAACGTTTCAAAGCTAAACATTTAAATGAAAACAAAAAAATAAAGCTAAAAACAATTCAAAATATTAAAAGAACAAAAGGTATGAGTATAATAATGATTCTAACATAACACTAAGCCAAACACCAAAAAACAACTACATACGTGTATGTACAGCCACACATACCTATACATGTACATATATATAAATACATTCAATATATATATTATTTAATTTCCATTTTGTATGTTGAAGTACTGAAATAACTCAAATTAAATAAAACTAAAACTTAATAAAAAACCTATATAGACATAATAAAAAAACTAATAAAATTACAACATTACTACAACTGTAACTGAAACTAAAACAGATAATTAATACAAATCAAACTACATTAGTTTATCAGTAATCCTAAAAAAATAACACTGAGCCAAACACACATGCTAAAAAAACAACAACTTACTGACACATAGTAAGAAATGGTTATAAAA